AGATTTAACCGCTAACGGTTACCAAAAATTACCAAAGATTTGCCACCACTCAAAACAGACGGTGTCGTTTTCTAGAGATTTTGCGAAACTAATTCGCTGATCCTAGACGATAATTATGGGCACTCGCTACGAACGTCCATTCAAAACAAGCAACGAATTATTGCATTTGTTCATGTTCCTAGTATTCGAGTGCCCAGTTCCAACAAGAATTCCGTGGGAAGTCAAAACGGGGTCATTTAACAATGAGATCAATGACAGGATGCGTGGAGCAGGTAATGAGCTGTGTCTCATGCAAAGCAGATACTCCAAATTGCTTTGGGTTTGTCACGCCACACAATTTGGGAGAATTTTCGAGAATGTGCTTTTGTTGAGGAACCCCGACCTTCTCAGCAAAAGCATTTTTAGTCTCAGAGGTTTCTGTACTTTTTAAGGCGAAGGTATTGCTGCAGTGAGACTAGGAAACACAATGAATATTCAGGGCTGAAAAGTTCTTACAGGTAGATGAAATTTTGCCGTAGAAGTTCATATCACCCAAATCAGAAAAATTTCCTCAGTTAGAGCTAGGAAGCTCTTGGCATTGAAAATCTAATGAGCGCGATCTGGAAATGATAGCTACTGTGTCAAAAAGTCAAAAAAATGCCGAGAATTCTTCTGACATTACCGAGATGTGTGACATATTCCGGTGTGTAACTTGTATGAGTGACAACATTTCACACGCAACATTTACAGAATCTAAAACTCGCTGTGAAAAGCTCATAAACGGAGCTGAGTTGAAGAGTTTTAGTAACTTTTGCTCGAAGGCCTAATGAGCAGAAGAACGCTCATAAGGGCTAGCATAAGCGTTAAAAATGGAACGCATAATGAGCAAGTTTATGTGCTCCTTAGCGCGTAATGAGATGTTCCATTTACGTCTGTAGACTGAAAGGTGTCGTGAAAAGTTTACAGAGTTCAGGGATGAATAGAAGAAGAGCAAGCAGCATTCTGCTTATATCAAGGTTTCTATTTCCTCACTATGGAATAGAATGGATGCAACTGCCAATATTGCACTGCGCCAATTTCACCACCTACCCTTGCAGCTTGCAAATGCTTTTTCTATTATTCTAGACATTTTCTCTTCGATTTGCATGGATCGTTGCTAGATAGAAGTAAGTAACAAGTTAAATTAGTTATAAAGAGATACAAGCAGTTTTGAAGAGTTCTCACAAGAGGGGCGGGGTGAGGGGCGGAGAGGGGGGGGGGGGGGGAGAGAGGCAAAGGTTTCTGGTATGCTTCTCAGAATTTTCTTGGGCCCATGACCTCGTTCTTCTTGAGAAAAAGGGCATGCTGCCATGCTGCCTTCTCGAAGATATTTTTTACAAGATAATCTGAGTTTCTAATCCCCAAGATTTATCTTGGTTGCAGAAAAATATATACAGGTCACTTGCACATTTTTATACACTCCCCCCTCCCCCTCCCCCTCCGTATGCCATTGTTGCAAGGTTAAAGATGGACGTGAGACAAAGCGAAAGATGGATAGATTCAGAAAATCGTTCAGCACATAGAATTTGAGTAGGTCCTCGAAACCACATTACTTAATATTTCTTTGCTCCACTTTTCAAGCCCAGTCAAAGAAGATTTATGCTGAGACGCTAGTCTAAAACATTGCATTTCTTACCCTCAAAACTCTAGCAATGTAGTCACTAGTAAGCGGTGGATATGGTTTCAGATCTGCTGGAGCAGCTTTAGCATTGCTCAAATTCCCGTAACCACGTGCTTCAATAAGACAGACTTCCATGTGCAAGAATATAAATTAGGCACACACACAAATTCCTTCATTGCAATATGCGATGAAACGACAACTAATAAACTTTTCAGAACATTTCATTTTAGCTACACGTCAAGTCCGCACATCATCCGGAAATGAAGTAGTAGAAAGTATTGGCATCGTTCATTTTGCTGTAACATAAAACTTAGAAAAATTATCAGAAATTCACGAATTAGAGTCACTTATAGGGCTTTACTGGAACATAGGTTTAAGTTGTTTTATGCTACCCATCCCTTTACGAGCTAGCCTTGATTTCAACTTTTTTTTGAAATCTTTGCATCATCCACCAAGATGGAAAGAATGAATTAACCGCAAGCAAACTGGATTAGCTCAGTCTCTGCCTAAAAAATTTTTATACTATAAATTTATCGAGTATACATTGAACTATAAAGTTTCACATTTATATCTCACACTCAAAATTATCAAATTTATGAAAAAGTCAGCAAAGATATCTCTCTCATTGAGAAACCTCCTCAACTCTGAAGGATTCCAAACCTTATTAAAGATTCTAACACATCCTTATTTGCATCGGTTTATCTCCCCAACATTCTTTTGACCCTTACAATTTTCTAAAAATATTGGATTTTTTTTCCAATTTTCGCAATGTTCGAGGTCTTTTAGAAACTCGAAAAGCTCTAGTACGCCTTTGTAATCATTCAAAAATTCAAACAAAGTGCTATTACACCTTAGAAAGTTTTTTTCGTATCTCCAAAGGTTCATCTTCCTTTCTAAGCTTTTGAAAACGTGCATCATAATTCTTCAATAGAATTTTATTAGATGCTACCCATTTGCATGCTTGGTCCACTATTTTGTAAAACATGAAACGACGAGCAGATTGATTGCCGTTCAATGCAGTTATTTCTCCTCTTTCTAATGGGTGTTTTCTGTTTCCGACTCGCAAAATCTATGGAACAAAACCTTTACAACTCTTGCTTTCGAACGAGCCATGAACCCCACTCAAAAATTCGAAATTCATTATTTCGGATCCGCAAACTCGAATTTGTTCCACAAAATCAGTGTTGAATCATAATACTATCTTAGTAGTATCAAGGTCCGAAGCTTTTTTGGTGTTTGATGCGTTTGTGTCTGACAAGTGCCTGCTAAGAGCCGGTGGTTTGAGTAAGAAAAAATTCTGAACAAAAATATGCCAAGCTTCGGGAAGGAGAAAAATGTTCTACTGTAACTGAAGGCTGGTGTCTAATGGTATATTAAGGCTTTAACCTTGATAACTGCGCACATGAACAGAATGAAAACAAGAAATTTTATCCACATGGCAAAACGAAAAACAACGGCCTCAAGGCCAACAGCGAACAAAACAACGAGAAAAAAACCACGAAATCGGTGGAAATGTCCCGATTTGACACTCTAGCAGGCCTTCGCACGGTAACTCTGGATCAATTCTCGGTGAGTTTTCACGTGGGGAGGTCTGGTTCTTTCCTGAGCAGTTTTCGACTCCCACGAGCCTCTTCTTCTCGAGGCTCCCCGTTTTCTTCCCTTTTTATGCCCTGCTGAGAGGTTCAAAAGGCCTCTTCTTCCAACAGCTCCGTATTGACGATCTCCAATCGCGTCTTCCAACATTCCTCCCTTTCGAGGAGCAGTCGAACTCGGCGGCGGTGGGAGCTCTTCCAATTTTGCGCCTGGTGCTCGCTGATGGCTTCGTATAGGTGTTTGGCATTCATTACTCCGCAGCAAGTGTCGTAGAACTGAAATAAAAGTTTAGGCGCTCTCGCCTCTATCCATACTCTACCATTTTCAACAGGGTAGGCGCTAAAAGGTACAACTGGTCCGGGATGGGAAATTCTTCCAAAGTGGCGTCGATTATAGTCCACAGTCTGCCATGACTTTCCATTTGTGTACCTCGCGACATTCTAATGGGGGCCAGACTGATATCAGTTCTCCACACCATGAAGGGCAGTGAACATATGTAGATTAATCTGTGTGTGATACTACTAACAGTAAGTACACTGCGCAAAATTACCAAAATATGCAGACGAAACCGATCAAAGCAAGCATCTACTTCCTCTATACTGCTTCAATGCATCTATCTCATAAGTCAAAAATTAACAACTTATCAACCCGTTTTTTAGAAAACTTTATTCTGTTTCTTGGGTCTTATGATTGCTGCCACGAGTGCCGTTTTAATTTCTCAGATGATAAGCTTCTATGGTCATAATGGAGCAACAAATGGAAAGAAAATGACGCACTGTTTCCCTCAACTTTTGAAAGAAGCTAGATAGAACTCTTCACGGTAACATGGCTACGACAGGACGTGCCAATTTGAAGACACTCATGAATTGAAAGTGGAAACGTTGTTTTTACAACGAATAAGAGATGCAAAGAATAAGAAAACTTCCACAGTTAAAATAATCTTCTTTTTAGTAATTTTAGTTCAATGTGTTCTCCGCTATATTGCGTAAGGAGGATTCTTCGCCTGATCTGATATGAAACATAACTGCTGACAAGTGACTGACTTTGTTGCAGAGTGAAAGTATCAAAAATACCACACTCTCTTAGCTAAGTATTTTACGCTGAATTCCTCTGCAAACACGCAGCACAATGCTTTATTTCATCTTATCACAAGAAGAAACAGGCAACGAAGAAAAGTGCTCGTTTCATTTTTCGCTGATCAATATACCAGGAAAAATCGTGGATTTCCTTTCTTTATGCGCACTAAATACTTTATTCTGTATCTTTTGTCATCTTTGCAATTCTTCGAACATTCTTCGCTTTTGATTTTTTAGATGATAAACTTATATGGTCATAATGGAATAACAAATGGGAAGAAAATGACGCGCTGTTTCCCTCAACTTTTGAAAGAAGCTAGATAGAACTCTTCACGGTAACATGGACACGACAGGACGTGTCCATTTGGAGACACTCATGAATTAAGAGTGGAAACGTTGTTTACACAACGAATAGGAGATACAAAGAATAAGAAAACTTTTACGATTGGAATAATCTTCTTTTTAGCAATTTTAGTTCAATGTGTTCTCCGCTATATTGCGTAAGGAGGATTTCTCGCTTGATCTGATATCAAACATAGCTGCTGACAAATGACTGACTTTGTTGCAGAGTGAAAGTATTAAAAATACCACACTCTCTTAGCTAAGTATTTTACGCTGAATTCCTTGGCAAACACGCAGCACAATGCTTTATTTCATCTTATCACAAGAAGAAACAGGCAATGAGGAAAAATGCTTGTTTCAATTCTTGTGCAATGCCACTACTTCACACCTGAATCTGCAAAATTCTTCTTCAGGTTTGCACTTCTTGCAACATTCTCTGAAAACACAACATTTTTGTTGCACATTAAAACGACGTAATTTCAGCCTTAGACTTCAACTTACTTAAACTTGGCATCGATAGCTCGACTTTCTTCGGGAGTGGGCATTTTTGTCCATAAAATCGTTAGCCCCAAGGAACAAGCTCCCAGGAGGATAAAGAAAAACAGAAGGTTCATACTTGTTTTCAGCAATATGAGTGCGCTCTGAAAATTTCCGATTGAATTTGGGTTTGCTTATACTGGTACGCGAGAGAAAAACGACAGCACAGCGTTTATGACTGATTGAGTCTCCTTTGCAAGACATGGATATATTGAAGAAGATGGATTGAAGCGACTTGCTGTTAGGAGATTAGGAAAGTTCAATGGAAGCTGCATTGCGCTTGCAACGAATGAATTGATCTGTAGTGTGATGCTCGCGATTTAGCCAATATTACATTGAAGTGGTAGGATTCGTAATAATGAACTGTTTTTTCGCTTTTGTGCAGAGTGTTCAATCGATATCAAAAAAATTCCCGTAAGTTCTCGAGAAATTTATTTAGACTATAAATTTGATAATTTCGGGTGTGAGCTATATCTCGAATCTATCTCGAAAAGTAGTCCATGAACGCCTCCCAGATACACGCTCTCTCAAAAATAGGCCTGTTTCTATAGGATGGTCGCAGGACAATTATAGCTGGAGAGGCTCATATGTAAATGCTGTGCGCCTATTACTGCTGCTTTGATGATTTTGAGTAACGATTTTGGAACGCTATACGTGATAAAAAATTTCTAAAAAAAAGTGTGAAATACTGATATTTGCATCCAAATTCCTCCATTTTCTGATTCAGTAAATTTGAGGTATTCTCTCTTGGCAAAGTGAGCCAAATGTTTCAACGTTCAAAGGACGTTTTCTAATATCTCGCGCATCTTTTGCGAGAAAAGTTGGCGAAGGTTTGATTGCTAGTAATATTTGCGCATATAGCAGAATTTGAATGCAACTGCAAGTTTGAAGTCGACGAACTCCCCATTCGTTTACTTTATACTGAAACGATTCTTTTTGTTCAGTAAAATGGGCAATGGATCTTTCATCGTCAGAAAGACTTCTTTATGTAGATTAGACAGGTTTTGATACCATTATAATCAAGAGGTGATATCTGAAAGAGTTTCTTTGCTCTTTGTAACCTCAGAAAAAGTGTTAGAAATCAAAAAAATAAAGGCCCTTGCACTTTTAGCAGCCTCATATTTACGTGAACTTTTTCGCATAGCAATGAAAAACGCAAACTCTGGACTTCCGTAAAGATTTTTTCCGTTCGCGCAAAGTTTTATCTCGCGAAGAGCACTAAATGCGATATGCATCTTGTAAAAAAGTATCAAAAAATCTTTTATAACTTCAGTCTGCCACGCTCAAGATCAGAAACATAGCCTTATTGCATAATTGAAAGTTCAAAATTAGTTCTAGAATTGCGCAAAGGCCATCCTCTGTTAGAACCAAAGGAACATAAGGAAAAGAGAATTAATTAGGTGACAGTCGAATTCAGCTGCGGTATATATATACTGTTTGCGACTCCTATGATTTCTGTGGCAATGGCTTTGTGACGTATTCAGAAAAAAGGTTGGGTTATAATAGGTTTTGTATGCTTCAAAGCTAAGGAAAACTGAAGTTAAGCCACTTAAAAGTGACTCCAAGTTATTGCCATTATTCTTCTCATTTTCTTTGGCCAATTCGAAGCTTAAGATAGATAAATCCGTTTGTTTTCTCTGCACCATGTACAGAAAAGTTCTCTATCTTGTTCAAATCAGCTATATTCCAAATTTTTTTGTTACAGATGCTGCTAAATCTCCTGTGTATGCCGATATATGTCTCTACATTCTCCAACCAACTCTTGACTATTAGTGGAAATGCTTTTATGAAAAAAAGACCTACCTTTCAAAACAAGAAGATTAGTTAATCGAGCCATCGGAAAATGCCTATGTGAACTGACTCATTTACATCGCAAGATGTTTGGAGCTGTTGAACCCTTAGCCTTTTTATGTTCGTTGGAATTTGGTAGAGCAAGCGACGCACAACTCTCCGCCTTCGATCTATTCGTGCATGGGAGCGAGATTTGAGCTGCAATGAAATACTTGAAACACGTTCTGGTTTCCATAGCCGCAAATTCTGAGAGGCATCAAAGAAATTACAATTACACAAAGCAATGAAATGCAAATTGTCATTACCTTCCACAAACTTAGATTTTTGTAATTCTCGTACGACATATGAATTTTCACTTTGCGCAAAACCTTGTGGAGCGCTATATGTGGCAGGTGTTGCCAAGCACAAGCAATACAATATATTCTCTAAACTTTTTTTTACACCTAGGCTGAGTTCATACCGATCCGGCGCTGTGCTGGAACAATCTGGAATTTACGGCTCAGTATGAACCCCTTATGAAACTATGATGCACCAAGTTAACAAGAGTTGCTTAAATTATCCGTTTTTGCTGAAAACACAAAACATACGAGTACATACAAACATAAACATACGGGATAAACATAAGCAAAGCATGCAAACATATCTACCTTTGGGATGTGAAACGATGATTGCGATGAAGGTAATCTGACTTTTTTGATTTCTGGCTCTTAGTCTGTTTATCTCTGAGAACTTCCTAGTTGATTTGGTCTGCAATTGTCAAAAATACACCATGAAATTGATTTAAACTGGAGGACATTTTCAGTAAGCAGACTTCATGCTGTTAGGAAAGCTTGCTTGAACGAAAATGAGAAAAAGGACTCCAATATTGTCATGAGAGCTGTCTATGAGCATGCTATGTCTCAAGCCTTCCAAATACTTGCTTTGTGAGCTGATCTTACAGCTACTAGAGACTATGTTTAAATCAATTTCATTGTGTATTTTTGACAATTGCAGACCAAATCAACTAGGAAATTCTCAGAGATAAACAGAGTAAGAGCCAGAAATTAAAAAATGTCAGATTACCTTCATCGCAATCATCGTTTCACATCCCAAAGGTAGATATGTTTGCGCTTTGCCTATGTTTTTTCCGTATGTTTATGTTTGTATGTTCTCGTATGTTTTGCATTTGCAGCGAAATCGGATAATTCAATCAACTCTTGTTAACTTGGTGCATCATAGTTTCATAAGGCTGGGTTCATACTGAGCCGTAAATTCCGGAACAGTTCCAGCACAGCGCACAATTCCAGCGGTGTGCTGGAACTGTTTCGGAACATACGGATCGGTATGAACTCAGCCTAAGTGTAAAAAAAAGTTTAGAAAATACATTGTATTGCTTGTGCTTGGCAACACCTGCCACATAATAGCGCTCCACAAGATTTTGCGCAAAGTGAAAATTTTCATATGTTGTACGAGGATTACAAAATCTAAGTTTGTGGAAGGTAATGACAATTTGCATATCATTGCTTTGTGTAATTGTAATTTCTTTGATGCCTCTCAGAATTTGCGACTATGGAAACCAGAACATGTTTCAAGTATTTCATTGCAGCTCAAATCTCGCTCCCATGCACGAATAGATCGAAGGCGGAGAGTTGTGCGTCGCTTGCTCTACCAAATTCCAACGAACATAAAAAGGCTAAGGGTTCAACAGCTCCAAACATCTTGCGATGTAAATGAGTCAGTTCACATAGGCATTTTCCGATGGCTCGATTAACTAATCTTCTTGTTTTGAAAGGTAGGTCTTTTTTCCATAAAAGGATTTTTACTAATACTCAAGAGTTGGTTGGAGAATGTAGAGACACATATATATCGGTATAGGAGATTTGGCAGCATCTGCAACAAAAAATATGGAATATAGCTGATTTGAACAAGACAGAGGACTTTTCTGTACACGTTGCAGAGAAAACAACCGGATTTATCTATCTTAAGCTTTGAATTGGCCAAAGAAAATGAGAAGAATAATGATGCAATGGTTTGGTGTCACTTTTAAGCAGCTTAACTTGAGTTTTCTTTTCGAAGCATACAAAGCCTATCATAACCCAAACTTTTTTCTGAGCACGTCACAAAAGCCATTGCCACAGAAATCATAGGAGTCACAAACAGTATACAGGGTGTCCCAAAAGTAAGTACACACTTTTTAATTGTAAATAACTCTCGTGTAATGAAGTCTGTTGAGAAGCTTTAGGTACCGATCTGTAGGGCAAGGCTAAGCTTAGATTCACAGTATAGAGCGAATTATCTATCGCTCTTCATTATTGTAGGATTACGGTACGAAATTCGACAAAGATTTTAGGCCATTGGAGGCTATATTCCGCCTCGGAAAAAACCAAACAAGCCAAAAACTCTCATATTATGGTAGTAAGAGAAGCTGATTTCGATCTTGAATTCCCACTCAACTGTGATGCTTTTTCAGAGTTATACCCGGTAAATCGTAATAGCTCTTCCTAACATTTGTCAGAACTGTGATTACACCTTCATAAAAGCTGAAAACACTCGTAGAAAGTTGTTAGGTGGAATCAGCATGTGAAAAAACCCTAGTACACGATTTTTCAGGTTTTTGAAGAGATTTTTGTTAGGTGGTATATTCACATTGGTTTCATATGCTGGAAGTTCATACCGTAATTTTACAGTAATGAAAAGCGATAGATGATTCGCTCCATACCGCAAATCTACGTTTAACCTCGCTCTACGAAATGGTTCCTAAAGCTTCTCTAAACGCCTCATTACAAGAGAGTTATTTACAATCAAACAGTAGGCACATTTTTTGGGACATTCTGTATATTAGGTTGTCCCGAAAGTTTTGTCGGTTTTATTCAAAACACTATAAAGCCGCGCACAATAAAGCCTTGAATAAGTTTCAACATGCATTTGATGCAGCCTTTCCCTCTCTTTCTTATGGATACATTTTCGTGCCACAATCTTGTACGCTTCTTCTGATAATTGCCAAAATTCTCCACCCGTCAACTTTATCTGCTCATAGTTGGGTTTTTCAAAAAATTCATTCCAATGTTTCGGAGAAGGTTAAGCATGACTAAAATAGAGCAATTCTCGGGCTACAAGGAAATATTCTTAGATCCTCCTATTTTGCTGTTTTCAGCTTCAAAAAATTATTTCTTCGGCAGTCTCGATTTTTGGCAAAGTCATGAAACACGCAACTGCAGCAAATGCACAAAAACTTTTGAAGTTTCTGCGAATTGAAACGGTTGTTATTTAACATCATTTATGCAAAATAACCAAGTTTAATTTGCTTCAAAAAACAGCTTTTTGGAATTTTCGGT